AATGAAGATTCCTATGATTTTTACGATGGGTCCTTAACGGGAACATCAACCGGTAGTGGCAATAGCGACTAAGGTAAAATGGGTGAAATTAGTATAAAGTAAGTAAGAATTACGTGAGCTTTGATTCTTCTAAACTCCAAGAGAATACGTAGGCAACTTAATTTTTTAAAAATAAATTAAGTTCAAACCCTTTTTTTTTTAAAAAAAAATTAAGTTTTAGCCTTTTTAAACAATAAATAAATTTAGTTGAAGACCTTTTTTTTAAATAAATTAAGATCAAGTTTTTTTTAAAAAAAATAAATTAAATTCAAGAAAAATAATTTATTGAAGTATTTTTTAATTTTTTAGGTGTATTTTTTAAATTTTTTATGTTCAAGATAATTTTTTTTTAAACCGGGTCTTTTCAAAATTTAATTTTTAGGTGTATTTTTTAATTTTTATGTTCATAAGTATTTTTTAATTTTTTATGTTCAAATAATATTTTTTTAAACCGGTCTTCAAAATTTAAAATTTAAAATTATGCGATTCGCCGGAAAATCGATCGGAACCGTCGTTTTTGTAACCGGATTGGAACCGGAACCAGACGGCTCCAAACCAGAACCGGAACCGGACCTTTTCGGTTCGGTTCCGGAACCGTGGCCAAGCCTAGTTTTAATAATATCAAGAAGCAAATAACCTCGTGTAATGGCTAATTGCATAGAGTTTATTAGAAACACATAATAAGATAATTTTCAGATTCCATTTGTTGAAGCCCAAATTTGTTAAGTCTATTTTTTCCTTCCCACCATCAAGATAAGCCAACAAACCTCTAACCTCAAAGGATAATAACAAGATTAAGACCAAGTAATAAGATAATTTGTTCCATCTAATTTTACAGAATAATCTGAAGTGAGGGAAAAACCATTTTTGTCTCAGTTGTATGCTTTACTTCATCACCCATCATTTAATACCAATTGAAGTGATCAACAGAAGGAAGAATAGAGAATAAAATGACAACAACTAGAAATAATAAAAGAACAACATCCAATAAAAATAAAAAAAAAATTACAAAACGAAAGTAAGAACCAGGCTAAAATACCAAACTAACTAGAGGCAAAACACTAAGGGAAGCTCGTCAAGGTCGTAGCCGTAAAGGTGCTCGAAAATAGTGTCACGTGCTGGCATGTGGTTGAGCTAAAGAAACTTGTGGTGGCAGTTCAAGCCAAGCACCTCACTGAACATTGATGATTTTCTACAGACAGTTCGATCGATGGTTGGCTTCCATTTGAGATGGGTAATGACACTTCACTGGCCTCCTATAAGGTATTGTCAGTAGCTTAACCTAACCAAGTTTGTTCCTAATGGTGGTTTCCTTTGCCGATGATAGATGGATAGGCTCTGATACCATGTTAAAAAAGAAATTAAGAGACAATTTGTATTTTTATATGTTGATTTGTAACCTCTATACTAGCTATTTTATACACAAAGATCACCCTAGAATAGGAAACTAGCTAAATAGGAAAGTGAATATTTTTTATCCTAATAATTATCTCTAAAATATTTTCAACAATTATAAGATTTCAATAAGTTAATATAACTTTGATTTTTATAATTTAGTTTGTCAAATTAAGTAAATTCTTGAGTAATATTTGTGTGATCTATGGCATTACTATAAGTTTAATGTATTCTAATGTGATTTGTGACTAGGGGTAGAGGGAGCGGGTCAGATGATGCTTGGCCCCTTTATTTCACTAGACAAAATGTAATTTGTGGTCATAAAAGTCAAACGTTAAAGTTCTAATTAATCTAATTAGTAGAGCCAAAAGTTAACGTTTGAATATACTTAATAAACTCACTTCCTAAGCATAAAAATATCTTCTTTTCTTTTCCTCTTTACTCTCTCTCTCTCTCTCTCTCTCTCTCTCTCTCTCATGGCTTCCTTGTCAAAAAATTTCAAAATAAGCGGAAGAATCAGTGGTCCTAAATCTCAAATTTTCGGTTGCAAATTAAAGGTATTTTTTTTATTTGTTTTTGTTTTAATGGATTTTTATTTGAGTATTTTTTACTCCTTTTGCTGAAACAATCCATGGGTATTTGGTAATCTTTTTTGTTTACGTTTGCGAGAAGGATTGTTAAGAGACTATAAATTTAGTTAATTAAATTGTAAGGAAGATTTTGGAAAATTTTAATTGTAGTAATTAGAACAATTGCAAAAAATAGACTTTACAAAGCTTTATTTATTGTTGATTTTTATCTTTGGGACTATTTTAGGATGCAATCCTATTATGAATATATGTATTTTATGAACTGCAAACTTTTCAATTAATTTTTGTTAGATTGTGCTTATAAAGACCGTTTTCCCTATTGCTTCGTGTTATTGTTGTAATTAAAGTTTGACCTACTAAAGCCATTTTGATATATCACAAGCATATAGGGTTTAAAGAGAAGAAAATTGTCAATGGATATTGCTTGTAATTATAAAAATATACAGTCAGAAGTCCTTGGTATTGTTTTCCATTAATAATATAAGAATGTGCTTAAGAGCTTCGCTTTTCAATTTGAACAAATAAATTAGAATATCTTGTTCATGGTGTTCGGATACTTGAGCACATAATCAATATTCTAAAATGGTTGTGCTGTAGTTCATGAATTATTCTTTTAGTTATCAAGATAAGACATCATAATATGGTGGAAGATGATTCGTTAAAGATTCTTTGATTATGTTCATTGAAAGAGAAATTGATGAAAAGTTTATAGCTGACAAGATTATAGATGGTTTTTATTAAAGGAAAAATTACGGTACTATTCATGTGGTTTGTGAAATACAACTAGTTCATCCCTGTCTTTTTTAAAATATATTAATTTGTCTCTGTATTTTGCTTTGGTTACATTATTAGGTCATTCTGTCCAAGTTTTGCATATTTTATATTAAGTCAACAAGAAAATATAGAGGTCAAAACAGAGGTACTAAAATACTATACTAGAAAAATTACAGTACAGTCCCTATGGTTTGAAAAATACAACTAGTCCGTCCCCGTGTTTTTAAAAATAAAATAGGTATTTTTGTCATTTCATAAGGCACTTGATGGAAAAAAGTCAAAAATTGGATGAAAGGACCTTATAGTCTGACAAAAATAATCTATAAGGACATTTTAGTCTATTTCTTGAAAGACAAGGATAGACTAGTTATATTTCACAAACCACAGGGATCATACTATAATTTTTTCTTTATTCAATGAAGGAGCAGAAAGCACAACTTAAATAATCATGTAGCTACATATCTATATTTATATTATCTTTTATCTTATATAATTTATGGAGTTTTATGACAATTTAGAGTTTATATATTTTATGAAATAATTATTTTTAGCACAGCAATAAAATTTTCTTGCTTTGCTGATAGTAATTAAAGGCGCAAGGTGAACTAAGGCACTAATAGCTCTTGGAGCCTAGGAGCAAGGCATGAGACAAAGGTGCACACTTGAGCAAAATGAGACGCAAGAATAAAAATATAACACCCTCTATCTGGTCTATGTATAAATCGAGCTAAGGATGACATAAGTATGCTAAAGATACTGATACTATAACTTATATGTCATATGATTCGAGCTTACAAATTAATACTCTAAAATGCAAATAGTATTGTACAGAAATTCCTGCAAAAAAAAAAAAAAAAAAAAAAAAAAAAAAAAAAAAAAAAAAAAAAAAAACTGCAAAAAAAAAAAAAAAAAAAAAAAAAAAAAAAAAAAAAAAAAAAAAAAAAAAAAAAAAAAAAAAAAAAAAAAAAACTGGAAGAATCTCCCTGTAATCTTAATATTACCAAACTATAAATCGATCATTAAAACACTTCTAAAACATCCGAACTTAAACCTCTCATAACTACTTAAAAGCCATCAATTCATACTTCTCAAGATCACTTCTGAGTCCAATTATTCCATAACTCACATGCATAATCAATATTATCCATAAAATAAGCTATTAAAAGTTCTCAAATACACAATTTTATACTAAACCTTTACACTCTCTGTCACATCCACATTTTCATAAAATGTCATAAGCATGCATTAAATTATTTTTAGAGTCTAATTATGCATTAAATATGTTTAATTATGATTGTGGATGATTTATAATGATTCAGGTAAATTTCAGTGTCATAAGGGTATTTTAGTAATTTACAGTGTCATGAGACTGTGTTTTGAAAATATAGTGTAATATTAGTATGTCAATTAATTATTACGCAATATGCAATGGATGTGTTTATATATGATTCTAGCCTTAAATTTAAAAGAGAAAAATAATTTTGCAAAAAATATTCTATAATAAAGACAAAATAAGCTAAATGCAAACTACTTTTTATGCCACTACAAGACAAATCCAACTGATCTTATCTCTCATTTTTTCTAGAATGCCACATAAACATCTTATCTAAATAAAATCTCCACATCACCTATTCTATCATATTGCAATCTCATCAACCAATAGAATTTTAGTGCTTAAGGTGCACCTTACCACACAATAACATCTCCTATGAGAAAATTAAAGAAAACTCTCCCCCTCAAGCAATTCCAACACACACACTCCACTAAATCAAGAGAAAATATTTTATTTCCCCAGCCATATCACCCTCCTCTCATCTCCTTCTTCCTTGCTTCTTCTTCTTCCTCAATTAATCTTACTAACACTTAAGAACCCTTATGGCCAAAAATTCTAAGGCCTAAAATACCACTCAAATCTCATCTCCTCCTCACCGAAATATAATATGTTATTCCCCTCTTCAAGATCTTTAAGATAGTATATTTTCTTTTAAGAAAATCTAAACTTTCCGGGTAAAAATCATTCTTTTATGTTACTACTTCTTTTCTATCTATTTCTTCTCTTTTTATTTTTAAACTAAGGCTAGATCCATACATTTTGTGTGTGTGTGTATATATATATATAGTGTGTGTGTATATATATATATATATACCTTCAAAATTTATGTTTCATGCTTAGATGTTAAAAAATAAGTTTTTTCTTTCATTTAGGAAGGCAAATCATCTAATCAATAGGAAAAGAGGTGGTGGAGAGTTAGTAAATTTTAAGGTTAGTGCTTTATTCTCCATTTTAAATATATTCAGGATGTTTGTACATGATTTTCTTAAGATTTATATGTGTAAATGGTGTTTTTTCTCCATTAAATGCCATGATCTTTGTTGTTGCTTTCACTTTTATGCCTTAAATGCTTTATTTTGATGATCTGTTCATGTACAGGGGGCGGCAGTAGCACAGTGTCTTTTTATGCCTTAAATGCTTTATTTGATGATCTGTTCATGCATTTTAAAATTGGACAGAATATATAGCTGCTGTCCCTCTAAAATAAATGGCTAAAAATTATGTTTTGATGTTATATTTCTTGAATATAAGTGTTAAGGATGCTATGTATGAAATTTGATGTGAATTGGTGATGATTTGAGCCATTTCTCATGCTTGTAAGAATCTCATGGCTATGTTTTTATAATTTGATGTTTAGTTCATCAAATTAAATATTTAATCTTCATTATATGATGTTTAATGATGATTATGAAAAGTTGATTTGATTTAATGTATGTCTAGTGCACTAACTATAGTGGGCCAAACCATGGAAGGACTAATGTGCAACTTTAACATGTGTTGAGGACTATTTGGAACATATTTCAAGGACTAAAAGGAAAATTCCCTAAGCTTGTGGAGTATTTGGGCAAAAGGAAGACTTTAAGGACCTAAACCAATGAATAAAATATGAATTTACACTAATTATGGACTAAAGAGCAATTTGGTTGGGACTAATTGAGGATAATAATTATAATTGAACCCTTAATTGAGGACTATAATTATAAATTGGACCCTTGAAAAGGATTAATTATGGACTATGGATAATTTAACATTCCATTAGTTTATTTATTCCAAGTGGGATCCATTTATAATTAATAAGGACCTTAAGGATTAAATTGTAATTTGTCCTTAATTAAGATGATGATTAATTAGGATTAGTGATAATTAAATAGTAGTAATAAATTAATTGGTTAGGAGCAATTTAATTAAGTGGATAGGTAGTTGATTGATGACATCTAGCTTAATTAGGTACTTAATTGGTAAATAATAGGAATAATAAAAATAATGGGATTTTATGACTACTAAATCAATTAGGTAGCTAATTAGTATAATTTAGGAAGCTAAAGAAATATTGAGTTTAAGAATCCTATGAGATCAATTAATTAATTGATCCACTTAAATCCCAATTAGGAGAATATTAGAAATAAGTGAAATATAGATTAATTAGGTGGTGATATAATATGTTAAAAATTAGTGCATCAAGAATTGTGCCATGGTATTGGGAATTGTGCCTATTAGTGAATTATGAATGATTATATGAAAATATGCTATGCTTATGAATTTAATTGGATGACATGAATTTATGTGCTATGGTAGAATATTTTATGAGATAAAATATTCTTATTGAATATATGTTATGGATTTATGCAATTATATAAGAATTATGATTAATTAAGTATGGTTATGTGATTGAATATATGTTATGGATTTATGCAATTATATAAGAATTATGATTAATTAAGTATGGTTATGTGATTTGAGTTATTTATGAAAATGAATTTATGATAGGATATTTAGTATGGAAAAGTATGATTTTGCGAATAAATAGAATTTATAAAAGAGAATATTTTTCAGAATGTAATAAAATATTCCAGTGTAATTATGAAACTGGACATTTTATCTATGAACACTAATATGTATGAATTATAATAAATATTTTATCGGCCTTGGTCTACTTGGTTGAGTCAATATTTTTATAGAGGTATGGCATGTCATAGGAATACAGTATTGTCTATATGTGATATACAGTGTCTTATAGGGACTAACGAACCCCATTTTATAGGAGCTAATGAACTCCAATTTTATAGGGGCTAACGAATTCCATTTTCTGGATATGGCCATTTAATTCCGACCAACGAGTCGTATGGTGTTATATAGGCTTTCGAGCCCTATGTTTATTATGAAATTCTCTATTTGTTATTTGATTCTTCTAAGTATGCTAAAGGCCTAATTAAAAATATAGTATGCTAAAGGCCTAATTAAAAATATAGTATTCATAAATTAATTAAAAAAATAATTATGTTGTTTTTTTATGAACATATGCTGATTTATATGATATCATGATTAAATATGTCTGATTTAGTGATGCATGATTATTGAATTTAATTAAGCATGTTGACTATGAATATTTGATATTATACATCTGAAATATGTTCTGAAATATGTTATATCATGATTATGCTGTCTCACTTTGAGTAAAATGTTGTGTATAAAAATATATATTATTATGATTGGTTATATGTATTTCCCAACTATAAATGGAAAATAAGCACGATTAAGCTTTATGCTTAGCGCGTTGACTTATCACGCACAGGTTGCTGATTTGGGGTAGGCGATCAACAGCGAGCATCAGACTATTCAAAGGCCCTTTATTCTGCTACAGTCAGTTTTCAATAGTGTCTCTTTTATTTCAGTCTTTAGAAAAATCTAGCGGCATGTAAAGCACTAAAATTTTTTATTAAGTCAAAATGTTATGAACTAAATATTTGGAACAATAGTTTATTTTCAAAGTCAGAATATTTTTTATGATATGTAATGAATATCTTAAATGCTTTCAATTAAAAAGGAACTGATTTATTATCCTTGTTGAGTTTTTATGAGATGTTTTGGATGATAGGTTGAGAATGTATAGTTATGTTGGGAGAAAAATTTTGAAAATGATATTGAGTTGTGGTTGAATTATAGAAGTGCTTTAAATGTTTTCTATGTTTTCTTGATACTGGATATATAGGGGAAACTCTTGCAGTTTTTTCCATAGGATTTCTTCGAAAATTTTTCTAAGTCATTTTAGTAAAACTAAAAGAAATATTTTCAAATTGTTAAGTATTAACCATGCCAGGAAGTGTGCTAGGCGAACCCGACGTGCTTCCCAGGCCTCGTTTTGTGGCAAAACGTCTAGTAACCCGAAAAGTTAAAAGTGGTTAAACACATCAGTAATCTTAGCCATAGACAATCGGTCCAAAAAACCAGGGCGTTCGGGAATCCTATAAAAACAATGGTGTATCATCACTGAATCTTTTAAGGGCAAAATTTAACCGTCTATACCTCCAATTTAAAAACTATGCAAAAATGTATTAAACAAAGAGTATGCACGGGTAATAAGAAGAAAGATAATTATCCTTAAAAGAAAGATAATTCGATTTCAATTACCACAAGATAAGAGTCTTTTATGCAAAAGGAAAAAATAGGGGTATTTCTTTTTGCATTTCGTTTACAACTTGCCATGTGCACTCTCCCATAAAATGGTTCCTCCATAAGACTTTGACCATATAAATCTCTTTATATCGAAGTTTACGACTTTAAAAGTTGAGAATCCAAACTGGCACTTTCTCATATGTTAATTCTTCATTCATTTGGATTTCTTGTGGCTCTAATTCATAAGATGGATTGGGAATATACTTCCTTGGCATAGATACATGGAAAACTAGACAAACATGAGAAAACTCATTAGGTAAGTCCATTTGGTAAGCTACTTCTCCAATCTTAACAATTATTGGGTAAGGCCCTATGTATCTAGGAGCTAGCTGCCCTTTCTTACCAAAATGAAGGACACTCTTCTAGGAGATACATTAAGGAACACTAGATCACCCACTTAAAATGTCGCTTACTTATACTTAGGTTTACTATGGTGCCCAACTATGTTATCTCTTATGTTATCTCTTTTCAAGGGTAAGAGACAAACCAACAGTACAAGGCAATAGATCAACTCCTAGATCTACCCTTTGTCCCGCTAGATTTTCCAAAGGTCTAGTTAACCTCAACCCTTTCTGTTTTTGGCAAAGTACAAAAATTCAATTCAAGACATTAAAATCTCTCTCATGGAGAAGGTCGCTTGATAACCTCTTTCACGATAGCTTCTCACCTAAGCTATGACACAAATGTTTATCAAATAGAAACTTGTCTACTAAAGATTACAGAATCTAAATAGACAGACAGAAATGCAAATATGAGCATAGGAAAAACAATTTTTCAGATTAGAAAATCGTTTAGAAAATAGAACTGTTTTTCGAAAGAAGTTGTTATAGAAAATTTCTTTTCTCTTTTAAACATAAAACGTAAAGTATAAAGATGAAAAGAAATAAGGGGGTAAAGAGTAAGTTTGAGAGATAAAAGATATGATCACTGGATGAATACTCTTAAAACGAAAACTCTTTCTTCCACATTTTTCAAGAATGAAAACGCCTTTTCCCTTTCTTATAAGAGGTCTGTGACTCTCCATTTTTATGAAGTGAAAATCTCTTTTTCAAATCAGAATATTGACCTTCCCCTTATTTACGAAGATATGGAAATCCTTGTTACCAAAATCTTTTGAGTTAATATTCTATATTTTTAGTAAGAATAAGTAAACAATCTTTTCTTTCCTTAAATAAAGATTTTCACAAAGTAAATACTTGACATAAAATAATTTTCCGAAAGATTTTACTTACTAAACGGGAATTAAAATAAGATCTTCTTTTCCTTTCTTCCGGTTTTAGGTAAAGAGATAAATCAAAGATTCTTAGATCTTCAAAAAGGTTTTTGGTTTCCACAAATGAGGGGCATAACGATCTTTATTCGATTTTATCTTCTTACCAAATTGTTAGAGAACAAAGTCTCTTTTAATTTAGGTAATTCGAATATTTCGAATCTTAAGAGAATTCGAAAAAAACAATTTTAACGAAAAGAACGAAAAGATTTTATTTTGAAGAACTATTTTCGAAAATAATTTTTGATGAGAGAAAAATCTGGTTTTTTGTGTTTTATCAATTGAATGTTCTCTCTATCCTACAATGAATCCTAAAAAATCTAACCACTAGGGTCCTTTCGAATATCTTCATCAATAACCACTAGGGTCTTCGAATATCTTCATAATCTTTGGATTTGTAGGACTTGCCTTGTTTATTTATTACTTTCCATATGTATTCTGCATAAAATATTATGAGCCAACACAACTGACTGTCCCAGACTGTGAATTGCAATGTCAAGCATTGTTTTGTCTCGTTTGTCATCTCTAATAGCTGATTCGGGATAAATTATTTTGGTCATTCACTACAGGATATCACGGAACCATGGTTGATCATCTCTAGGTGATGCTTCGTTTAGATCTCTATATTCTTACTCGTCCATTCTTCTTGGGAATTGCCATGATGTTTGGCTAGCCAATCAAGGTAGTAAATCACTTCTTGGAAATTCAGTGTTACTCAACTTGGCCACTTCCTATTTAATCTTTTGGCCCATTTCGGTCTCAATCTTCTTTTCTTATGTTTCATTAGTTGGGACCTAAGATACAGTGGACTGATGTGTTCATCTTTAGATCTGTCAATACCCAGCATATCCTCGTAGCTCTTTATGAAGGCTTCTTTTCATACCTATGAACAAGTTTTGAAATTCCATGTTTAATTCTTGCGTTTGGTTTTGGCCCAATCAACAAATTCTATTTCGTGTTAATATTAAATTCAAGCATGCGTGATGAGTTTATGTTAAAAAAATGTGCATGAGCTTGTTTACTAGGATGAGTAGAATTGTTAGGAAAGAAGTCAAACAGGTAAGCAAAATTAAAATGCACTTTATTGAATAACAGAGAAATTTATTTACAATCAGCATCGAATGTAGAAACATCAGGAAAAGGGAACCATCCTACTCGAAGCTCCCTTTTTGGAGATCTTATTATCAAACTAATGTGCAGGATCGCGATCACCTCGTCAATGCTTTCTTTATAGTCGACTTCTTCATTGGGGGTGACTTCCTCTCCCCCGGCTCCTTTCGGCACCTCAAGCTTTTTTTCGCTTCTTTTCTTTTGCTTTTCCTTTCTTTTTTTTTTTTTTTGTCTTTTTTTCTCTATTTTTTGCATTGGCCATAACCAACTAGAATTCTGAGCTTCGAGGGCTTTGGCATCTTGTGCGGAGCTTCGGTGGCTACAAGGTTAGATATGATGCATGTATGCATGAATGCATGAAGATGGAAATGTCACGCAAAATGCAATCACGCAATACATCGTCGTGTAATGCAACTAATATTATATTCTATCATGATTCAATCAGGACCGTTCAAAATGGAGATTGAAGAAAGGCTTTTTGAAAATTACAAGAATCAAAACGGGCCTTTATTTTGCAGCCAAATATTTAGAACGTCCCCTTCTTTTTCTTTACTTTATATATATATATATTTTGAATTCCTTTCTTTTTGCCGCAAACAGTGATAATGTTTGAGCAGGGTCTTTTATATACAATCAATATTTCTCTCTTTTTGATTTTTTCAATTTTTGGTCTTTTTCATGATTTTCGATTTTTCTCGAGACATTGAAAATATTTGGCTCAAAATATATAGCTTCATATATTACTCCAAATGTTGACTTCTTACAATAACCTCATTTGACCCTATCAAGGTATTTATACTCTCTTTTTTTTTTTTTTTACTACTCAAGCCTAGGACCTTTGATATGGTCTAGCATCCTCTAATCCCCTATTTCCATGAGGCGATTTGCGCATGAATGTGAAGCGTGTCTCCACGCCTTAGAAGAGTCATGGCTTCAGTTTGTACTTGTTTGGTTTCAAGCAAAAGTTGATAAGCCTTTTCTAGGGTCAATTACATGAGCTTTGGTCGGGTTTATTAAGTCTTAGGTTTCATAAGTGAGAATTGGTTGTTTCCTCCTATTTGGCTTGGATCTAAACGTAATGGTGATAACAAACTGTGCCAATTCTTTTGATATAACAAATGGTACTTAACTTATAGGTAGTGTATATTAGTGGCGGATCCAAACAGTCGACTAGGGTGAGAGGACCATAATGCCCAAATCACCTTTAGGGGTTTAGGGTAGAAAGGAGATAAAAAAAGAGATAAATGCGTGAATGACATATATAAGTACGAAAAGTATACTCAATTTAGAGTTAATAACATTATTAAAAAAAGGTGAATAATTGGACAACTTTTGGAGTCAACTCTCTCATTCAAATCCAAAACCGAAAACCAGAAATTCTGGGTTCGATTCCCTACGGAGTCGCTAGGCTGAAGACGTCGGATTTTTCCCAAAAGATTGGAAAGACGAACGGCCTTGATTTATTTAATTTAGTAAAATAGTTTTCTTTTTATTAAACCCATTTAATCCTCGGAAAAGGTTCTCTTACTTTGGTAAGAGTTTTATTTTAGAGTCGTCTCCCTTACTAGGGAAATTTCTCAAATCAGCCGATTCTTTCGAATCGACTAATCCAATTTTAAACCATAGATAGGGTCCAAGAGTTAGGTATGAGATGAGAAGGTATTAGGCACCCATTGCGCCCAGTTAAACCGGCTTCCTATTTTCCATTAATTCACAATAATTCTAATAATGCAATTAACTAAAAATTGAGATGTAAAACCTTTTATGAATTTTTAGAAAACATGTCATTCAAGCAAATAATTTCATACATAAAGCATAAAAATAAATCATCCAAAGAAGGAGGGAGGAGAAAAGAGTTACAGTCCTTCCTAAAATACAATCTAACCTTAAACCCTCCAAATTTCTCAAACCCAATCTATCTATTACAAGCAAGCTTTAACAAGAAACCTGATCGACCTTTTACATTGAGCTTAACATAATAAATAAAACAATGATCCAAACATGAAG